GTATTACAAAAGTGAAATTCAGGAATAGAATATTTTTAATTGAATTTATTCAGTTCCCATTTGCTCATAGGTCGTTAAATTTTTTCATCAATGGTCCTTAAAAGTACTTGATTTCCATGTGCAGAAATGTGTTAAGTGTTTTTACTTGCCTTTTCTAATCTTGCTCCCGATAGTAAATTTCTTCTTGGATTTGGATTATGCAACACATTTTCTAACTAAATCCAATTTATTTGGTTGCCTACGTTTACTGCAGATTTGACAGTATGCTTTCCTAGTACTTGGAGACACACTTATATCATCTATTTCCTCTATATTATTATTATATCTATATTATTTATTCAGTTATAATTAAATTTTTGTTGTTACAGAAATGAGTTCTAGCAGCCGTATGTACGACCCAATTAAATTTATCTGCGTTACCTCTTTTATCTGTAGTTAACACATAATTTTCTACTAACATTAACTTTATTTTTAAACTGCTCATTTTTATCGTCTACTTTAAACTTCGGATTTTTACTTAAATTTTCTTTACACTGAGCGATTAAGTATCCACTTTTATGTCATCTATAACAAGGTCTTTTCTTCGTATTCCCCACTTTTTTCTTACCTTTAGTTTTACTTTTAACTTGACTATTTTCCCCAGCATTTGTGCTGATACCTACACTTACCTTACTGTCTTCTAAATCTGCCGGCGAAGTCGACTTTCTTCCCTTACCAGCTCTTCGGCAATTTTTTCCAGCGTAAAATCCTTGTACTTCCACCTATAAATTAATTGTGCAATCCTGGAGTATTCCTGGGGTAACTTCCGAATTGCTGGAAACCCTTTAAAAAGATCTGCAAAGTTGTGTCCAGCTTCGGCCAACTTCTTTGCAGTCGTTTTTGTCCTCACGATGAAAAGCCTGATTTTTTTCATCAGGTGCATGTTTAATGTTGAAAAATTCGTCTAGAAGCTGGATTATTCTGGCTTTTGTTTTTGGTTCAAATTGCTTCTGTAGAACCTCCCATGCTTCTTTAACACTTGAACATTCTTGTATCAATGGCTTGAACTCAGTTTTAATTCCATAATATAACATAGTGAAGGCTGTATTTTCTCGGAAAGTGAAATCCTGCTTGTCAGGCCTTGTAGTTTTATCCAGTTCTTTTTTACCTTCTGTGAAGCTCCAACAATTTCTGTCTAGCAACAGCATCTTGATATTGACTTTCCATCGCTACCAGTTGTCATGATTCAATAATTCAAACCCTTCTGGTAGTAAGGACATGCTTAGATGGGCATAAGCACAACCGCTTGAACCAACTTCGAAGCACTTCAGATTCTTTTCGCAGATAGCGGCTCTCTTCGCTTGCATTCCTTCAAGGCTAAGTTGAGCTGGGCCCATAACCTGTTAGTGTTGGAGCAGTTGCAAAAGCATACTTTGCTCTAAATAAATGCCGGGACTAATGTAAAATAAAAGTAATTTTTATTTCGTGACTTTAAATAAAGTAAACTAGGCTGTAATAGTAGCCTGCTGATTTTAAAACAATGAAAGAAAAAAGAAAAAAAGCCAGCGAACTCAATTGCGTTCACGAACACCAAGTATATATACATCATTGGCCGATCAGCAGCAACTACTTTAGTTAATCGCTGATAGGCCTCTGAACTAAATGTGCACGAGAACAACAGAACATTAAATCAACAGTTTTGAGGGCTAAAAGTGGTCCTACTTGTTATTAACAGGGAGGTCATAATGTAATGGCTCTTCAGTGTAGATATGTAAAGAAATATCATATTTTACAAAAATAATACTATTTAGATTTATGCATTATGAAATTCTTTCTCACACATCTGTATCATTCCTCCTAAAAATAAAAGGTTTAAGAATGACCCTCATATCATTATATAAAACCTCATAGGTTGTAAAGTACTCCAGCTTTTTTTAAATGTGAATTAGTCAAACCATATATTTTAATTTATATGATATGGCAAAGATTATTTTGATTCACTTTTTAATTTAAAAAAAAATCATTTAATTCCATTTATGATTTGCTATTAACTGAGCAAATTAATAGCATATTGTTCATTTTCTTAGTTGGTTTTCTTTGCTTGTTTAATTTTCATTTTTAACTTATTCGATATATATAATTAAGATGAATATGGAAGAAAATTGTTGACAAATTATTAGCTTAATTTGGTAGTAGACCTTTTAATTCCTGGTTTTATTTGCTTACATGCTCTCAAAATTATGTACTGCATCACTTACTGCATTAGTTTCATCTGCAGTATTCCGCATTATTTTATTCGGATATAATTTAAAACTGAAACAAAGAAACCGAGCTAATAAATATTTCAGCTTCTCAATATGCAGCACTTTTTTTCCTTTGTTGTTACTTCGCAAGCATGTAATTAATTGCTTGGCTGTTTTAAAAATATGATTTTGCATATATAAAATTGTGTGGCACTATAGCACCCATGGTGTTGTACTAATCTAGAGGATACATGTTATGAAATTACTCTTCCAGCAAGAAAATTGTATTTTAACTATCAAATGTTGTGCTTTCCAGAATTCCACTTCTGTACTCTATAACCTGTATGTCAGCTATCTTCTAACTTCATTCGATCCAAAACAGCAAAATAATTGGTGCCTTTTCTAGTCAGTTATCTCATCATACCACTAAAACATCACATATATGTAAGAAAAATAAAGAATATATAAAAGATTATAAATTAGCAGCGTAAATTAGTTTCCCTTCTCTATTCTAAAAATAGTAACCTCTATTTGCACTGCGTCATTTTGAGACTAATCTACATCATATGATTCTTACATAATTGTGATAATGTAAATGGAACTAAAACTCAAACAGCCAATAGTAATTTTATAGCTATATTAACTAACCAATATATATATATATATATTATACAGTACAAAGTCCATAATCCAGACTCGTCGGGACTTCGCCGATTCTGGATTAGGGGGTTTTCCGGATTATAGAAGATCATCAGTTTAAATCTGGTAAGATGGCATGCAGAAATTATACAATTAAAAATATGAAATCGTAATTTATGAAATAAAGAATAATTATGATCTAAAGGGTATCAAAATGTACTAAAAAAAGGCTTAATGTTTATTTGTTTACTTTATTAAACATTTCTTTCAATGTAAGTTGTTTAAGATGCTTCCACAAAAAATTCAAAAAGTTCCTTTTTCTTGTGTCATATATAGTGGACTTTCCAATGCCATACTTCTCGCATAATTTTGAGACGGATAAGCCTTTATCCATTTTTTGTGGCAATTCCGCCTTTTGTTTAATGGACATCGAAACATGCTTTCGCTTTGTAGATCCTTTGGCAGCTCCAGAATTGGAAACTCTTTTTGACATAATCGAAAGTTCAAGCTTTATTTTTACAAAATTGTTCTAACAGTCTGCAAAAAATAATAAGCTGGATCCAATCAGAAGAGTAAGGAACAGTGCAATCTGCAACATTAACTGAAATGCCTTAGATAATTTTAACCCAGCTTATACCATCCGTTATACATTAAACATGCATGTGTTTACGCATGCACATAAAATTTGTAGCTTTGAGGTCTGGATTATAGATCATTCCAGATAACAGACTTTGTACTGTATAGCTATAATATATAAATTATTTATTTAGTAAAGAAATATTGATTATATTATCTCTTAATATAAATTTAGTTAGAAGTATCAAAAAGAGAGGGAACCATATGTAGGAAGTTTAATTTCGAAAATTGTGTTTTAGAGTATGTCCGAATTTAATTTAACCAATTAAAATGCATTGAGAACCAAAACTAACTCGGTTTGAATTAAGATTTTGCCTTGAACACAACATACTTGCTCTGTATGCTTTCACCTAGCTTGACTGCAATCTGTCTGCTCCTTCTTTCTTACTGCAAATTTATCTAAAATGTATACTTTTTGGAATAGGCACATTTAATGTGTTAACTTGTTTGTGTCGCAACATGCTTGCTGAAATAAAAAATGAAGATTTAATTTGCCTTCGCCTCATATTCATTATGGATCAGCGTTTCACCATTCTACGACATCAAAATTCTTAGCTGTTCAATACGGAATCAACCGCCTGCATTCTGCTACAGAATCTATTACATATATATGTGTGTGTGTATGTAATAGGATGACTTGGAGAAAGCTGCAATGGATTGATGATGGTTCTTTGTTGTAATAACTTGGAGAGGTTTTACTGCATAGTTAAAAAGATGACACTTGAAGACAGACATAGCTGTAGATTCCACACATAATTTTATTCTGTGATAACTAATTCTTAGGATGCATATTCTTTTTCATTGCACATCATCATTGTGGATGTGCCATGTGTGCCACAATTTCATGCAGATTATATTTTTAGAATACTGACAATAGCTAGCAGAGGATAAGCAAGTGAAGTAGCATCTTAAGGGGAAGAGAGCTGGAAGCATAAGTGCATCCTTATCCAGTATGGCAGCCTATTAAGAGAAAGGTGTCAGTTCTCGAAATTTTTAGTTTAAGTTCTGAATTAGTTATGTTTAAGTTTCAGTTTAGGTTTCACATCAGTTACATCATCAGTATTATTGAATCATGTATAGATTGATCTAGAAATGATGCAATCGAAAGAAATTTTGATGCGCAGCAGATGCTCAGGGGCATATAAAAATCTAAAGAAAAATAAAGAAGCTGTTGGTAATTTAGTAATTTATTAGAGATTTATTTTCTTATTTTAGATTTTACATATTTTTTTTTATTTTATAAATATATTTCTTAGTTTCATCTTAATATTATTCATGATGAAATAACATTAAGAAAAATTGGAATAAAACTATTACAATTGCAAGTATCTAATAAAAATAACTATCATAATTGTACATTTCTAACTAGAATAAACTATTACAGATGCAGGATTATATTAATTAAAAATATATATATTTGAAACTTTATACATTGATAAGTAAAGTAAGTTGTTAATAAGAAGCAGAACTATATGTATAATATTTTTTCTTTTTCATTTTTAGTCTGTTTGGGGCTCATACTGGAGTGATTTCCGATGGGGGTATAAATGTTGCCATTCATTTATTAAAAATTCATATTGTACTGGAAATGTTGGAAGAGAAGCCATAAAAGAAGTGAGTATATGAGTGCTTTATGTAATTGAAAGCACTCATAATTTTTGCTTTGTTTTAAGGTTGAAGTTATCCATTTTCTTATAAATCACAAAAGTCATATGTTTGTGATGTGAATGTTGAATTCTACGTTATTAAACTATAAAGTTTTCTGAGAATTTAACCTTTAAAAAAAAAAGGATTATATCCTCTAAAAGTAAGGCACTGTTCTGTATATGTTTTTAAACCAAATGGATATGTTTTAGCTGCATCTTGTCAGTGTGAAAATTTTTAGCTTCTACGTCCAGCATGTATCAGTTAACAGTCTAAATGCTCATCTTCTGTATATCTGAACACACCCACTTATTGCATAAGTTTCTTTTATTTCCTCATTTGCAACTAGTTGGATTTAGACCACAATATGCATACAACTCCCATTTTCATTAAATTACGTAATGAAAATGGGAACTAATTTTTATCTATTAAAGTATTATTCTGAATCCTGTGAGAATTTATTTATCATTATTATATTTTTTGCCCCTTGCTGAGAAAACAAGGGAAATTTATATAAATCCATGAAGCACAGTAATTGTTAAGGCTTTCGAATTTCATTTCAGATCATTTAATTATTATTGAAATGAATTTTAGAATGTGTAACTATTGAAGATTGATTTTGACTATTTATTAAAATAAGTAAATCTTTATCTTTCACAGGCTTCTGCACCAACTTTGTTGGAAGAAAAAATTGAAAAACTTGAGTCTTCCCAAAGTGGTCAAGAATCTTCAGATTCAAAAGCTACATCTGTTCATGTAAGTTGTTATTAAAAAAAAAAAGTCTAATGAATTATTTTTTAAAAAAATCGTATTTCATAAACATAACATCATTTCTTTATAAATAAAGGGCAAGAAAAAGAAGAAGAAGAAGGATAAGAAACAAAAGAAAAAGGAAAGGAAGCATAACTCTTCTAGTTCTAGTGATTCAGAGGATGAGAAAGAAAGAAAACTGAAAAAGGTAATCATTTTATTTTGAAATATTTAAAATAATTTAAGTGATTCTGATTGCTTTCAAGCATGAAATTAAAAATACTGTCTGAACTTGCTCAATTTTTATCAATGATTCTTAAAAAAATTTCTGACATCATCATCCATATGATTTCCTTCATCCATTTTTCATGAATATTTCGTTTAAGAATTCTTTTAAGGGAAAAAAAATTGAATTGAAAGCTACATAAGAATCTGATGTGTAATATGCATACATGTAAAAACATCAATCGTGTATGTATGTAAAAATCTTGTATAGTTTGTACATACCATGAAAGCATCTTCAAAATCTTTGAGGGTCTTATAACTATCAATAATGAATTTTCCGCCTTCTTGAGAACAGTGTTAATACATCTATTGACTTTTGAATTCAGTATTATCGAGTGACTGTGTAGCTTCGTTATCATTTCTGAAGTCTCTGTCACTCTTTTACCCAAATGATGACAAATTTTAATGCTGTAATTTTACTTGTGGAAAATTTGTTTCTAGAACCACAAAATAAAAACTAATTATAGTAGAACACATCTGCATTTGCAATTCAGTGACATTTTTCATACATAAAATCATATTGACCATGGAGGGCAAAAATCATAACTTGTATTTCAGGTAATATAGCTATAATCAAATTTTTAAATTTTGCTAAATACATAAAATCTGATTGAAGTCTTTACGTATTCGGTATTTTTGAGGAAAATAAATGCAGGTTTTTTTTATAATTTAGTCATAGGAAAAAAAACCTACATTTTAAACATTTTTATGTTGCTGGTGGTGAATTGCTATGTATAATTACAAAAGCTAAATCAACTTTTGTCAGAATAAGAGGCAAAAATGCATGACATTGTTTCATAAAATTATTTAACCTCTTTTAATAACACTTGATACGATTACACTTATTATCTCAGTTAATTAAGAAAACCATAGCATGAGTAATTGTCAAAAAATAAATGGGGAGTTACTCATTGAATTGCTTAAAAATTCTTTGTGAATAAATCTTCATATTTTATAGCTATGTAATTCCTCATTAATAGCTGAAATTTCTGTAATTTTTATCTTTTAGACAAAAAAGGATTTAAAAATTTGGAATTCATTTAATACTATTAATGTTGTATTATGAATATTAAATAAAATAAATGCAGTGAAGATTTCATCTAACATTAGCATTAAGCATTATTCAGTGATTTTAAATACTCATTTGTACAATTTAGAAATTTGTTAATACTAGTTTTCTGTATAAAAATAATAAAAATCACATTTTCCCGTTGAAGTAGTCATTATATTTGTGTAAAAGCCTGCTTTCTTATGTAATTAAAAAACATACTGTATTTAAAAATATAGTTATATCAAAATGTAACTCTATAATTTTACTCCTTGACATAAAATTAAATTTTAAAAGAAATTCATCTCCAAGAAAACTCACGTGTATAACGCTATCTTAAAATCCCATTCATTTCATTTTTTAAAGGCATTAAAGGCAGAAGAAAATCACCAGAAAGAAGCTGACAAATTACTTGCAATGGATGAAAGAAAAAGACCTTATAACAGTATGTATGAGGTGAAAGCTCCAACTGAAGAAGAAATGGAAGCATATTTCATCAAAAGACAAAGGCAGGATGACCCAATGGCTGGTTTTCTTTAAAAAAAGAGAATTATAAAAAAAAAAAAAAAAAAAAAAAAAAAAAAAAAAAAAAAAAAAAAAAAAAAAAAAAAAAAAACAAAAAAAAAAAAAAAAAAAAAAAAAAAAAAAAAAAAAAAAAAAAAATTAAGTTTCCTTTTTTTATATAAAATGATTTATGATTGTTTTTCTTTCAAGTTCATTTTTTTTTTCTTTTAAATTTTTATTTTTAAGTTAAGACATATATTAGTAAAATGATTATCTTAATTTCATAAGTTTATGCACTATATAAATTAGGATATTCAGCTTTTTGTACATATATAGGAAAACTGTCATGAATGTTCCTGTAATGGCAATATATTTTGTGTGTTATCAGTAAAATTTGATAGGATAAAATCATAAGATAGTCAAAAGATTATTTTCAAAAAATTAAATATTTAACACTTTTTTGACGAAATTTTATTAGAAACTCTGCCAAAGATTTTTAATGCTATATGAAATCCAATTGTGAAAATGGAATAAATAGTAAACTATGTATAGTTTAATACTGAGACCTGTACAAATATAATTATTTCCAAATATGTTGGGAAAAAACTTTAGAATATCTTTTATCTGAAATAATTATCAGTTAAAACTAATATATTAATAATTAGTAATGGTCTGGCATGCTGTATATTTGAAATTAAATTAGGTTTCTGTGGTTTTTCATGGCACGTTCTTAATGCTTTTAGAATATTTGTATTCAGTTTCATGTGTCTTTATGGAAGCATTAAAAAGTATTCATTTGATTACTTATGCCTCACTCTATTATGCATGTCATTTCAATCATAGAGAACTTAAAAAACATACATACATTCAACTATATATATTATAATCATACATGGCCTGCCTATGGCTGAAATCACGAAACACATTAGATCATTTCTAGGAAACTGAATAAACAGTTTCAGAAATTCATATTCATGCTTTCGTACAGGATCGTAATAGATTGACTGCACACAAAACCCATCATAGCTTGATAAAATTTATTTTACCAAAAGAAACACATCACGGTTCAGATACTCTCCACAAAAATACTTGTTAGCTCACTCAGTATCACAGAGCACAATCAGTAGTTGCACTTCAAACTACTAAGAATGCAATGCAAAGTGCATCTAAAAGGGTTAAGTTCTCAGAGATATCTCAAGACTTTGAAATCAGCTTTAACAATACATCCCCCAGTCGCCGAGAAATCTCTAGTACCTTCCACTTCTCGAAATTACTTGAAGGCATACGAGGGCCAGATATGGTTAAAGTTAAATACAGGGATTAATTACTTTTATTCAATTGTAGTACTAATTACAGTTATACAGGGATTGGACCAAATGGTCGCCAAGGTGTGGCAATTTCTCACCAAATTTGGCAACAAAAATAAGTCGCAAAAACCGTCACCAATTTAGCGATATCTCGCTAATTTAGCAAGATAGCCATTTACTCAACGTGAAATAGATTTGCCCTTATATTCTTACTTTTCTGGCACAAATTATCTCTTTCAAGCATTTCCTGTTACATTATACAAAAAAAGTACCACAGTTTCACATATAATTTTACTAAATTTTGTCTATATCTGTACAAAATTTATAACATTGCCCAGTTCCCAAGTACTGCAGATCCCAATCAGTACAATTCCTGGAGACAAAGTCGTACTTAAAAATAAGGAAAATCAATGCAATACTGAAACAGTGATTTCAATAAATAACATAATAAATACTAAATCAATAAATAAATATATAAATTTACAAATGTATATGCAAACAGAACAATGGTCTTAATCTACTACGGTCAAAAGTCTTTAATCCGGACCTCAAAGCTACAAACTTTCTGCGCATGCGTAAACGCAACGCATGCACATAATACACATGCACGTTTAATGTATAATGGACGGTATAAGCTAAGCTAAAATTATCTATTTCAGTTAATATTGCAGATTGCGTTGTTCCTTAATCTTCTAATTGGATCCGGCTTATTATTTTTTGCAGACTGTTAGAGCGATTTTATAAAAGTAAGCTTGAACTTTCAATTATGTCAAAAAGAATTTCCAATTCTGGAGCTGCCAAAGGATCTACAGAGCGAAAGCATGTTTTGATGTCCATCAAACAAAAAGTGGAATTGCTGCAAAAAATGGATAAAGGCATATTCTCTAACCATTCCAAAATCTGTTTATCAATTTCACGCTGCCCTGTATGGGTAGGAAATGTCGCGGCGCGCAATGAACTGGAAGTTGATCTGTCATCAATATCCTTATCTTCAGGGCAGATGTTTTTATTTTATTCGGCTTATAGTTCCGTACTAAATGTAGTATTTCATCTCGATGTACTCTGATATGAATCAAATTCCTCGTCATTATAAATATCACGAATACACATCAAATAGTTTTCTGGTTGCAATTTTCTAATTTCGACTATGCGCAGTGTATGCTTTACGCATGCGCACATTGAAAGAAATGTTTAATAAAGTAAACAATTAAATATAAAGTTTTTTTTTTTTTTTTTTTTTTTTTTTTTTTTTTTTTTTGTTGTTGTTGTAAATTTTGATACTCTTTAGATCATAATTGCTCTTTATTTCATAAATTACGATTTCATATTTTTAATTTTATAATTTCTGCATGCCATCTTACCAGATTTAAATTGATGATCTATAATCCGGAATCGCTGAAGTCCCGACGAGTCCAGATTAAAGACTTTTGACTGTATTTACTTTATATACACTATGGGAACTACTTACTATGGCCATAGTAAGGGGTTAGCATATTGTAATGAAAGACTTTAGACTTCGAATTGGATGAATCATGATGCTGTTCAGGACTGTGTAAGCACTGTCTTAAAGGAGACTGTTTAGGAGAAAGTTCTTTCCGTCAAATCGAATTCCTTAACCACACCTTGTTGCCTTTGTTAAGTTCCATTGCTCTCATGTCATATTGGGTTGTAGTGTTCTCTTTTGCCAAGTTAACTCATTCTTGAACAAAATTATGCATCACTTCAAATTGTGCTTGGACATCTTGAATGTGCTCCTCAGGTCATGAAGGTTCATCTAAGTGAGCAAATGGAATGAATAAGTCTCAGCTCCTTATTGCTAAATGGTGGAATTTTGTGGCAAGAAGTTTTCAATAATGATTTGTTTCCTAACACATACAATATGTATTTAGCTCAGACATTGAGAAGAATTTGATAAGAGATTTTCAAAGAATTTTGTATAAAACAAGTCTGTGCTCCATTATTGAAACTTAGAGTATGATTAACGTATGGGACAACATGTGACCATGTTTAGCAACAAGAACTTTAAGCTTTAGCTGAGTATGAACAAAATGAAATATTCTCCTTGTACTTCCGTGATTTTATTTATCGATGTCTATGTGGATGACATTTTACCAGGTTTAGAGAATCTAGAAGACACAGTTCCTTGGAATTAGTTATATACATGGGTTGCTAATGATCAAGATTTGTTAAATGACTAAAGATGCTGAATATAACTTTTCTTCAGTTTCTGATCTTGTGAAAACTTTTGGCATGTAACTACGATAATTTAAGGTTAATATAGACTCTCAAAGGCAAAGTCCATAAAATGGGATGTTCTATAGCACGCCTTTTGATCCACATGGTCTAATTGAAGCAGTAATTACAAAGGCAAAGATATTTCTACAACATCTGTGAAGGCATAAATTAGATTGGTCTGAACCAATTACGCTTGATGATATGAAGGATTAATTTCAAATTCCTAAAGCAGTGAAAATTCTTACGCACGTGATCATCACAAATCTCATCATAATTGATTAACATCGATTCAGCGATGCATCTGAATAACTGTATGTAACAGTGCAGCAATGTAAGTAAGCTAAAAAAAAAAAATAGCCAAGTACAGCAGCAAATAATACTATTATGTTCCAAATCTAGAAGAACAAGGCCAAGACCTCTAAAGTTACTGAATATTGGTAGTTTCGTCTAAGGTTGGAATCCTGGCCAGCAGGCTGGCTGCTTGGGCAGTTTCATGGTTTTGCCCCATATGTAACGTGGATACGAGTCAGCTTCCGATAGAAAGTCCTCCACCTAGACATCCATTTCCTTAGGCAGATAGTCCTCATTTGCTTTCCTATAATCAAATAAACCAAATCCAGAGCATCTCCGATAAAAACCTTAACAATACCCAGGCTGGAATTATGTGCAATGTCGGCATTAGCTCGACTAGTCGCAAAGACCATTTCTATTACTAAAGTTGAGTCTAATCATGTGTACCTGTGGTCAGACTCTATAATATCTTTGGCATGGATAAAAACTCCTTATGAAAGACTTAAAACTTTTGTGCCCAAGAGTTAAAACAAATAAATGAACTCTGTCCTGATTATGATTGGAGATATGTTTCTTCAGAAAGTTATCTAGCTGATTTCATATCTAGAGGAACTACTGCAATTAATCTTCTACAGAACTCTTATGTGGTAGACTGGTCCTTCATTTTTAAATTCAGACATTCCATATTTTAAAAAAAACCTATTAACTTGACTAATATTGATTATTCTAAGGACTTAAAGACAGTGTTAGTTCTTAATACTGGATGAAAGGTAGTTCCTAACACTACTAACAACTTCATTGTAGTTAGTTCTTAACACTACTAACAACTTCATTGATGATTTTTTAAATATTAATAACACTTTTACTAAGCTTGTACATATTTTTAACTATATTTGCAGATGTATCCATAATGTCAAATTTCCTAATAATAGATAGGTGTTCCTAAGAATACAAAAGCGTTATTCGCAAAGTTAACAAACAGTCATGAGTGCAGCTAATCATTTAGTTAAAACTAGTTCAACATGCAACTTTTGTCTATGAAATCAATTGTTTAAAATATAGCAAGGACTTCAAGCTGAGTCAGGTAAGGAATTTATATTCTTTTTTAAATGAAGATGAACTTCTTCGAGCTGGAGGTTGATTACAAAATTCTCAACTGAGCAAGAATTCAAAACACCCAAAGCTTTTACCGGATAGACACAGGTTCA